TTAAATAAATTTGAAAATGAACTAAAACCTAATTATTCACTTTCAAGAGGGATTCCTTTTGACCTGAGGTGAATACTGTTAGACCTCGACACTGATTTCTAGGGTTTGATGAGTTTAGCATTTTAAATAAATGTCATTCATCCTTCATTCAGACCCGCCAAAGCCGCCGGTGTTTCACAAACTAACACCGAGCCTTCGCAACATCCAAGTGGAATGGCTTTCTCCGGGTTCCAGACGTCCAGACGCTCCAATTACGTGGTTCCATCTTGATTGGACTAACGAGTACACGGGTTTAGGTGACTCTGTCCGACTCCCTGCTGATCGGCGAACCTACTACCTGTCAAATTTGACATGTGCTACTACAGTTCGATTTCAAATGCGCGCTGAGAATCAATTTGGATTGAGTGCTCCTACGGAACCGATTTCGGCTAGCACCGAAGGCTCTGGTGAGTGTTTTAAAGGGTCTTTTTGAGAAATCTCCTGCATGATGACTTCACATAACACTCTGTCTCTCTGAACACTTTGTCTTTGTGAACCACATCGTTCCGGTGGTAGTGCTACTCGCTTCAGACTGAGACTTTCAGTTCTACTACTGATAAGTTTGAGTAAACTATTTCGTCTCTTCATCAGAGGAATTCGATTCTACTTTCAGGATTTTAAATGCTCACAACTTCCTCTTTTCTTCCGGTTTTACAGCTCCACTTTTCGTCGGTGAAACGGACATGGTGCCAGCTGAATTGCGTTTGCAAAATTGTGTCACCTTCAACTTTTCCGTCTTCGCTCCCGGTAACAACTGCTCTCCCAGTGTTTACCGATTCCGAGTCTGGCCAGCTGCTGACGGTTCTGACGCCGATCCCTCCTCGCCGTCTGTACTTACTGGAGCTTCGTCGTCCTCTGGGGGTAATTCTGCTGTCTCCACTGCTTCTGCTACACCAGGCGCCTTTTCAACCCTCCATTTCAACCTCACCCTGACAAAACGCGATCTCTTCAGTCTGGACAACAAGTCCTGGAATCGACGATGTTGCTACAACCTGAGCGGTCTCCATCCTGGGTCATACTACCAATATCACGTCGTGGCTGAGAATCCTGCTGGAAAGACACCACATTTTGGATATTTTTGGACGCGAACTGTTGGTGGAAGTAGGTCACTATGTGGAATAGTTGGGTTGTAGGATGGATGAGTAAATTTAGAGCCTGAACTTTTTCCTTTGTGCCTCTCTCATAGTTCAACCTCGGGAAGGTGCTAGCACTCGTTTTGGTCGAACTAGTTTTCTCAGCCAACCAACCATCATCGTTCCATTGACAATCTTCTTTGTTGTGCTCTTTGTTGCTTTCGTCTGCCTTTTCTTCTACTGTCGACATCGACGACTGGAAGCGGAATTGAATCCCACGACAAAACCAACGGTCGGGAGACCGATTCTTAATGCTGATCTTGCAACAGAGCATCCACATCTTCAACAGCAACAACAGCGTATCCAAAAAATGCAACATCCAGCTTTTCAGACTGCAACTGGTAGAAGACACCGTGGAACCCTGCCACCGATTCCGGTAAATGAGGACAAGACGGAGTATCATCCAGAAGGGAAAGTGAGGACAGGAGGAGGATTTCTTGGGTGAGGTCCATGCTTTGGAATTTTTTTTCCCCGCACTCCTACCCTGAATATGCACTCAATTTGTGCACTAGTGCCCTCGCAGGCGTTTCATTCCCTCTCAACAGAGACAATTTTTCATCCATTTCCAGTCGCTTGGGTCGAAGTTCCAGACTTTACGATCGAGGTAGAGCAGGAACTATCCTTCCCTCACAAGTCATCCCTCCTTCAAGTGCTATTGAACCAGATCGCTTGTCAACTAGTTCAATGGATAGTACTGGTAGGCGAAGATCACCTGATAACCTTTGACGGAAGTTGAAGTGTTCTGACTGACTGGTTTCCCTTGATTTCTAGGCAATCTCAACCCTTATGCGACCTATGCAGCTGGTGGAATTGAGGAGGAGGTTTCACAACCGGTGGCTTCCAAGTCTTCCACGACTTTACAACCATCGGCTAGGTCTTTGACTGCTGCTAGAACTCTGGACGTCCCCATCAGTTCGGCCAACACTGCAGGTGGCTCCACACGGATGTACAAGACTTTCAAAAAAGGTTTTTTTCTCAAAACAATCTTAAACAGTTACACCTTCAATTAAGTGATTTTACTCATTTCTTTTGCTTCGAGGTTATCCTCTTGAGCGACAACAATCCTACGTGCATCAGTACCACTACCCAGATCTTGGAAATCCTGAAATGGAAGG